AGCGCCGATTCGGGGATCGATTGTCGCGTCCCGACAGGACGCGATAAAATCGATCCCCGAGAGGTCGATTTCTACCCGCCGATTCAGGCGGGTAGTGTAGACCTAGCCTCAGTCTCTCTGGCTTCAGTTCCTCATTTGTACAACAGGGATAACAGCCCTGCCCCACAGGGGTGTGAGGATAAACCAATGACAGTTCTCTGGTAACAGGGCCATCTGAGCAAAAGTCTCCCTCTGTCCAAAGCCCAGTACTGATCCCGAACCCTTTAGCTTTACCAAACCAAAACCAGTGCAACTGAAATGTCACAGGCATGATCATGTGCCGGGGACAGCTTTCCTGGCAAGTCTGAAGCCAGACAGTGGTGCAGAAGTGAGGATTACACTCAGCGTAACTCTGGGCGGTCATTAACTCTCAAAGCATGCAGCCTAGAAAGCAGAAATTTGGGTTAGTCTGCTGCTCTGGAAGCCTGGTGCCATGGAGGAGTTTGCTGGGAAGGGATTTGGGGGGATAATTTAAGGGCAGGGAGCTACATGGGGTGTCCAGTCTTTGAAAGGAAGACTCCACAAAGGGACTGGTCTGAGAAGGAGCAGGGCCATCTGCTGAAGTCTTAAAGAATATTCCCTAGCAAAATATTTCAGTCAGGGTTAAGACTGTAAAGATCAGTTACTCCCAGGAAAAGCCTCTGAAAGAATGTCACACTGTTTGGAACACTCCACAAGCATTAGAAAGCCTGGAAAGTCAGAGTTAAGGCTAGCCAGGTAACCTTAACTCTGCCCTTGTATCACTACTCACAAGGCACTCCTACTTTCCAGCAACAAACTTGTTGACTGCATCAGTGACTCTGAAAACTGACTTGTGATCTAACTGGTGTGCTTTGGTCTTGCTCCTAGTTTGCACTGGGAAATTTAAATTGAAGGGCACTTGTCTTTCCATCACTACAAGCTACTCTTACCCTCCAAGACCATGAACAACTGCAGAGGAAATAAAGGAGACTGATGCACTTCTCTTCATCAAAGCAGGCTGGACTCAGGACCATAAGAGTCAAAGGACAGATTTTTCAAATGCCGTAAGTACCACAGTGAAAGACTTGGCACAGATAAAGGGCTAATTACAGGGGTCGGCAACCTTTCAGAAGCGGTGGGCCGAGTCTTCATTTATTCACTCTGATTTAAGGTTTTGCGTGCCAGTAATATATTTTAACGTTTTTAGAAGGTCTCTTTCTAGAAGTCTATAATATATAACTAAACTATTGTTGTATGTAAAGTAAATAAGGTTTTTAAAATGTTTAAGAAGCTTCATTTAAAAATTAAATTAAAATGCAGAGCCCCCCAGACCGGTGGCCAGAACCCAGGCAGTGTGAGTGCCACTGAAAATCAGCTTGCGTGCCGCCTTCGTGCCAGAGGTTGCCTACCCCTGGGCTAATACTTCTAAGGGAACAAACTTAAGTTGTGGACCAAAACTTAGGCAACTTAATTGATGGGGTGCAGGGTAGCGTGGAAACCACATGCATCTCAGACACGCAACGTACAAAACCATAGTGTATGTATGTGGCTATGGTATTCCCACAGCCATGGGCTACCAGGAATTAGAGCCCTTGCTGGACTCTCCTTCAGAATGCTGCCTCCTACATGGAAGGTGCAGTGAGTACACAAGGCAGGTCAGTGCAGAACAGGGCAAAGTTACAGTTGTTTCTGTACTTAGAACATACGGGCAGGGGAGTTACGTGAATTGTCAGCTTGGCTTTGCATTTCCTAGGGTTTGCAATCAGAAGACTACAGTGTTCTCTTGAGCAGAGATTTACAATCAGCTCCAGTTGGATGAAGCATTGGAACTGACATTTGGATCTATTCAGGCATGCATTGCCCACCTGCCCTCTATCACTCACCTCCAGGGTCATCCACATGCATGAACACCATGTCCTCGTTAGCTGCCAGGATGGAGAAGAACTGCTCCTGACCCACAGATGGAAGCTGGGCCATATTCCAGGTCTCCCCTTGGTCAGTCGAGACATGGATCCTCCTCGTATTGCCCTGGAAGGCAAGCACAACCTTTATGCACCACCAATGGCTATAGTACTCAAGTGTTCGTCAGTGCCTATGCTCCGGGGGCCTAGACAGATCAGAGAGGGTGACAGGGAAGAGAAGCAGGAGCGAGAACAGTCCCGGTACTAGATCAGGACACAGGAATGGGATGAACAACTCTGGACAGCCACATGCTCATTTATGCCCCTGCCTGTTCCCATCCCCTTAAGGCACAATCACATTCACACAGGCCCTGCACCCACAAATCCAAACCAGGACATCTATCCAAACCTGGGCCATGGCCTCCCACATGGAAACAAAGAAAGGCGGCGACTCCGTGGACTTGCAGAGCCATATGGAAGCCAGACGGAAAGGAGTAAAGCAAATCTCCTACCTGCTCCGTCACCACGGAAGTAAACAGGAAGCGACCTCCTAGGCCAAACGAGTAGATTTTGTTTCCTATGGTCTTGAAGCTTTTGCCAAAGTCATTGGTTTTCTTTAGCTCCAAAAACCCAAGATCAGTTTCTTAAGAGAAGGAAATGAGAATGAATATTGCTGCAGTAGAGGAGGGGACACTGAGGTGAGGTTGGTATAACTACGTCACTCAAGGGTGTGAAAAATCCACACCCCCTGAACAAAGTAGTTAAACCAAAGCCTCCAGTGTAGACAGGGCTAGGTCAATGGGAGAATTCTCTGGCGACCTAGCTATTGCCTCTCGAGGAGCTGAAGTACCCACGCTGGCAGGAGAAGCTCTCCCATCGGCATCAGTAGCATCTTCACTGAACCGCTTCAGTGTTTTAAGTATAGACAAACCCCGAGGTTGGGAAGTGCTGATCCCCCTTAAAGTCTGTTCCTGCCTCACCACAGCAGTTTCTCACCCAGCCCCTCACACACACTGGGCAGAACCTCATTCTGAAGCGTCAGTCAGCTCTAAAGGCTCCTAGATTGTCTGTCACAGACTGCCACCCTGACAGTGCCGACATCCTGCCATCAGCAGCTTAGCCTGAGCCTGCCCAGTGGCTAAAGGACACACCAGGCTGCCCCTGAAACCTCAGACAACCCTGGCTCTACTTCACAACACAGGCCTGTTCAGCTTCCTTTCCACCTTCTGTGCTCGCAGCCCTGGAACAGGGCGGATTCATCTGCGCTCCGACATCACCCACCATCATTTCTCAAGCTGGCAGTGATTAAGTCTCTGAGAAGCCCTAAGGAGAGCATGATCTCCCCCCAGACATCCATCTCGCCTCACTTCTCGACACCCAAACTCTCCCACAACACACTAAGGAGCTGTAGCATGAGCACTGTCAGCCTCCGTTCTCCCTCACCCACTCCCCAGCATCAAACCCATCGGTTTGCTTAGAGTTTTGTGAGGGTATTATGGCATCATGCTTTCGTGATCGCTGGCGAGCACTTGGAGAATTCTGACCTGTGGGACTGCTACATTTAAACAGACTGGAGATGTAATTTACATAAATTGTTTAACCTGTAAATCCAGGCATCTAAGTCACCTTGTATGGTGCCTGGCAGGAGGGGGGGACACACAGTTGACAGGTTTCAGAATCGCATGTTAAAATAGCCACTGATTAGCTTTATACAATCTCCAGAGCATTTGAGCTCAGGACCATTCACTGGCCTGTCCCTAGCTCCTTGGGCTAATGAGTCAATTGCTAACAGCTGATGATTTATTAAAGTGTTTTCAGACCATGGAGCTGAAGGGAAAAGGCTTGTGAAGTCTCTGGCTTCACACACACACACACACACACACACACAAAGTGGCTTTGATTCTCTGATACTGCACAACTGTTAGTTGGAACCAGGGAGTACTTACTGCAGGAGTCATTCAGGTAGGTGGTGAAGAAGATGGTGGTGTCAGGGCCCCTAGAAACAGACAGGAGGGGGGGGGAAAGAGTGCTTAGAAAGCGGATATAAGAAAAGCGGATCAACAGCTGTGTCAGGCTGCCTACACTGCAGTTAGAGGTGTAACTGCAGCTTGGGTAGGCAGATCTGTGCTAGCTTTCTTCTAACTAGCATTGCTCAAATAGCTATGAAGATGCAGCAGCACATACACCGGCGCAGGCTATACAAGCACACCCAGAACACGTTGCCAGAGTCCCTGCCAGCATGTCTTCTCTGCTCCTTTTAGCTGCCCTAGGTAGATTAAAACCAGCGCAGGCATGCCCACATAGGCAGCAGTCACACCCCCGATTGCAGTGTAGACATACCCATAATTTTACACAACATGGGGACACAGGTGAAGCCAGACTCCTTGAGCAGGGACAGCTTCTATCCCAGTGGTATACTGGGATTCTACAACACATGCACCAGTGAGGACTGTTACAGGGCCTTTCACAGAAGCGTGGGTCCTTTTACTCAAAAGTCTGGGGAGCATCCAAGGGGTTTGTGAACTGCAACCAGATAGCATCCATACCGCACACACTGGCCCTGTCCAGGTAGTCACTGAAGGACTAGTTTGACTAGATACAAGAAAGTTTGTGACAAAGCTTCTACCTACCAGAAGCAGAGCTGAGACCCAGCAAACTCATGGCACCCAAGCCCATGGTTCCTAAACTGTTCCAGTTTGAACTGAAAGCTATCGGATGCACGTGTCACCTTGGTATCTAGGACCAGAATGCTGAGTGGCATTGCTGACTCCAAGGGGTTCAAAATCCAGAGAGACTAAGGGTATGTCTACACTACGAAATTAGGTCGAATTTATAGAAGCCGGTTTTATAGAAAACGGTTGTATACAGCTGATTGTGTGTGTCCCTACATAAAATGCTCTAAGTGCATTAAGTCGGCGGACCGCGTCCACAGTACCGAGGCTAGCGTCGACTTCCGGAGCGTTGCACTATGGGTAGCTATCCCACAGTTCCCGCAGTCTCCGCCGCCCATTGGAATTCTGGGTTGAGATCCCAATGCCTGAATGATGCAAAACAGTGTCATGGGGGGTTCTGGGTACATGTCGTCAAGCCCCTCCCCCTCCGTCAGAGCAACGGCAGACAATCGATTCGCGCCTTTTTACCTGGGTTACCTGTGCAGACAACATACCACGCCAAGCATGGAGCCCGCTCTTCTCAACTCAGCTCACCGTCACTATCAGGGCCGGCTCCAGGCACCAGGCACCCAAGCACATGCTTGGGGCGGCACCTGGTAAGGGGCGGCGGGGGGAGCG